TGTGCCTGGCTGTTTTGGCGGTTCCGCGGCTAGATGATATGAGGACCCAATAGAGGTTCGACAGTAGTTATACGTGGCGCCGTTCAGAGACGGATTATTGCGCGGGAATGCTCACACTGTGTCTGTATGTGGGTGTAGCTCCAGGAAAAGCCACGATGGTGTATTCTCGGCGTATATGCTTGTCCGATGTGTGTCAATACAGATTGTAGGCAATATGTATTGTATAGGCCCCAGTTTGGTTATTGAAGCTAATGTGTCCCGATGTCTTGTAACATGGCCTGATATTCCCACATCGCGCGCCTTCATTGTTTCCGTCGGCCCTAAAATGAACAATTTGCCGTTGGTACGTAGGTGTGGTTGGCCTCGTTGAGAGATTTTAAACCCTATTCCGGCGGAGGTGCTGTTTCACTGAATTATTTTGCCACGTATGAATGTCAACTACCTATTTACCACAAGGGCGGTATTTCTATGTGGCTGTATCGGGACCAGCTAGTACGTTCCCTTCCCCAGCTACCCCACCAAGCGGAATGTGTTCTAAAGGGCAGCCCTACGACAACATCCCCCTCTACCAATGAACCTGTGGGGTGTGCCTGACGTAAGCAGCGTATCCTTTTCACCGTACATGGGAGCAGATGGTGGGTCTAATGAACATGCTGACCTGTTGCTCGCAGTAAATTCGAGGTATGTGCTCGAGTCGGCTGCGGGCATGCTGCTAAGCTGTGGCAAAGGCACAGCTCCCGACTCGCTGGCTTGCACATCAACGGCACATTATTAGATGTAGGGCTGCCGTGGGTGCCGCAACATTACTTATTAGCGCACAGGTGTATAGCACGGCCATATTATTCGGGTGGTGGCGAGGAGGTCCGCGTTCACTGCCAGGACGTCAAAACTCAACCACGACAGAACGTGAGACTACACTCACGCCCGGCGACTTTGCACATATTTATCTTGTTAGGTGTGCCCTCCCTCGGGCTAAATAGCGCTTGGATCGCCGTCTGGGTGATTCCTGAGCAAGCGCAACTAAACTAGCATTTGTCCGCATACATGTAAACACAGTCGTTTTCTGTTGCCGTAGCGAGCGCCGTCCAGTGGGGATAGCCGGGTTGATCGCTGAGTGTATATTTGCATTTGGTCGAGCTGCAGAACACAGGAAGGTACATGTGGTGAAGCCATAATGCTGAGGAATGCCAGCTCTGCTGCAAACTACACGAGTTGTCTGCCAAGTGTGCCTGGCTGTTTTGGCGGTTCCGCTGCTAGATGATATGAGGACCCAATAGAGGTTCGACAGTAATTATACGTGGCGCCGTTCAGAGACGGAGCTTTGAGCGGGAATGCTCACACTGTGTCTGTATGTGGGTGCAGATCCAGAAAAAGCCACGATGGTGTATTCTCGGCGTATATGCTTGTCAGATGTGTCAATACAGGCAGTAGGCAATGTGTATTGTATGGAAGGCCCCAGTTTGGTTATTGAAGCTAATAATGTCCCGATGTCTTGTGGTAACATCGCTTCCGACTCCCACCTCGCGTGCCTCCATTGTTTCTGTCCGTCCTACAAAGAACAATTTGCCGTTGGTGCGTGGGTGTTGTCAGCGAGTTTATACCCTATTCCGGCGGAGGTGCTGTTTTGCTGAAGATATTTTGCCACGTATGAATGTCGCCTACCTGTTTACCACAAGGACGACATATGTACGTGGCTATACCGGACCCAGATAGTGCGTTCCGTTCCCCAGCTTCCTCACCAAGCGGAATGTGTTCTAAAGGGCAGCTCTCCGACATCCCCCTCTACCAATGAACCTGTGGGGTGTGCCTGACGTAAGCAGCGTATCGTTTTCCCCGTACACGATAACAGACGGTGTGTCTAATGAACATGCTGCCCTGTTGGTCGCAGTAAATTCGAGGTATGTGCTCGAGTCGGCTGCGGGCATGCTGCTAAGTTATGGCAAAGGCACAGCTCCCAACTCGCTGGCTTGCACATCAACGGCCCATTATTAGATGTAGGGCTGCCGTGGGTGCCGCAACATTACTTATTAGCGCACAGGTGTATAGTACGGCCACAATATTCGAATGGTTACGGGGAGGTCCGCGTTCACTGTCAAGAGCTCAGCATTCGATCACGTGACAGGATGTAAGACTAGGTTCAGGCCCAGCGACGTTGCACAAATGTATCTTGTTATTTTTGTTTCCTCCCCGAATGAATACCGTTTGGAGCGCTGTTTGCCATTTTCCCTAGCAAGCCTTACTAAACCGGCTTTTTCCGCAGTACACATTGGCGGTGTTTTTTGGATGACATAAGCGAAGGAAATGTTATGGAGGGTGGGATCGACTGCAGATTTTCTTGTGGTTTGTCCCCTAGAAGATTGGATATAGGTTTGGGAAGGATGAGACCTGACGGAGCATGCAGAGCCGGCATATTTGTAGTGCAGTTCCATCACGGATCGTTGTTTGGAAGTGGGTATTCAACAGGCTCTTGTGGGTCACGTGCTTGCAGCTGGTGAGCATTTGGGGGGCAGGCCCGATCATGTGACACAGCGTGAAACTGCCTTTAAACGCTTTACAACAGGATTACCCTGCTGTGGCAGCTGATAGATGCTGCAGCCCTTGCGGCACGATTCATGATTTTCACGCACATGATCGAGTGCACAGGGAATCGCAAGATGGCCAAGATGACGTCCGTGCCTGTAGCCCACGAAGGCGTAGTGCTAGTTGTTAAACTACTGGATGAGTGCAGCTGCCCTGGTAGTTTATGCTCTGGAGGTGTTCGGAGTACGGGGAGGGAAGGAGCTACCCTGATGTGCCCTTCAGCGCCGATGGGAAGGTTGATCGGAATGAATGAAAGCTACCCAAAGCGTTATTCTGTTGTGGCTTTTAAGCAAAGCTTCTGGCAGAAGCAATTTGCATCTGTTAATGAATCAGCATGCAGCAGTTGCACCCGGAGCATGGGTTGAAATTTTCTAATCGTTCCTTTGTCTAGCTCGTGAAAGGTGCTAGCGAGCACTTTGAGCTATCGCCGCCCTATACAGCGTTCCTACCTGAAGGTGCTGCGTAGTTTTGAAGCCGAGTAGCTGGCTGACCGAAGTGTTATGTCTGGGTTCGCAACAACCCCACGTTAAGTTGTAGTGTAGTCCAAGTCCCAGTTTCGACATCTCAACATGAAAACCCAAAGACCCCGTAATGCTATGCATTGGCCGTCTGGCGTTGCCGCCGGGTGTGCATTCAGCAAGTGCGCCAGCTGCTCAGTCGCTTTTCCGTATCACGTGCAGCTTCCCTACTGCATCAGCTAATAGCGTCTCAACTCATGGTCGGCGAACGAGAAGGCGTCATCGTGATTATCAGTCTAAGTGAAAAGACTGTTTCCGTCCCACTATGCGTACTTGTATGTCTTCCTATGGGGCGTATCTGCCGGTGTGCACTGAATCTCCTCCCCAGTACACAGCGTGAACTTCAAATAGGGGGCTCACTTGTATTCTCTGTGGCTTCTGCAATTGGCGGATGCACCCTGAGTAGCCCCATGGCATCGAATAGTTCGCCCATAAGGATATAGGTATCAGTGCACCAGTCGCTCCAGCAAAAACGATTTGGTGTAGGGCCCATCAGCTTTCACTGTCAAGACGTCAACACTCAACCACGTGACAGAACGTGAGACTACACTCATGCCCGGCGACTTTGCACATATGTATCTTGTTAGGTGTGCCCTCCCTCGGGCTAAATAGCGCTTGGATCGCCGTCTGGGTGATTCCTGAGCAAGCGCAACTAAACTAGCATTTGTCCGCATACATGTAAT